AAGAAAAAGTTTATATAAGGTTGCAATCTTAAAATGTAGAAATACAAATGCACCTAAAAAAATCCATCGGAAACATTTGTTTTAATGTTGAAAAACCCTCTAATTGATCAACTCAACGACAAGATGTATGAATATGAAAAAAGAAAAAAAAAAAAAATCAATTAGCTTTTCCAACGGTCATTTTAGAGTATAGAGCCTAGGCTCCAAACAATCAAGTTAGAACCTACTTTCAAAATAGTGTCGAGAAATATAGTTTTAATACTAAAAATATTTGTGATAGCCTTAAAATATATTTTCATCTTTATTTATAAAGTTAAAAGCTTAAAAAATAGTGTAGATTTAGATAGATCCATAAAAATTTAAAAATCTTGAAAATTGACCGTCTAAAAATACGTTACAAAAATGCATTATTTTTAAAATTTGAAATCTATTTATTTTTTTATGTTCATGCATCTTGATGTCGAGATGATAAATTTGAAAATATTAAAAAATCAAAACAGCCTCTAAAATTTTTGAGGTAGGCTCAAATTTGATTATTTAGAGCCTCGGCTGTATATAAACTTTTCCCTTTAGAGAAATCGCACCCCAGTTAAATTAATGGTAAACTAAAAGAAAGATCGTAAAATTAAGGACTCGTGATGGTCTGAACCAAAAACGGCGGCTCCCTCTCCAAACCTCGCTACTTTCTCTCATCCCCTCTTCCCTCTTCCCTCTTCCTTATTATCGTGCTCTCTCTCAAACGAGAATCACTTTCCAAGTCTCATCATCCTCAACATTCTTCATCTTATTCAACAAGGTAAGGTTTTTTTTCTTTTACTTATTTGTGGTTTTCCTTTTATTTTTTTTGCTGTTTTTTCCTCTCTTTTTTTTATTGGAGATAAATCATTGTGCTCTACACTGCATCTAATGGTGCTTTATTTGCTCTGCGTCTAATGGAAAAAACAAATTTCTCCTAACATCTAATGGCAAAAACAAAATTTCTTCTAACTGATACGTGGTGTTTGCTTACTTGGGGTGTAAATGCACAACAACATTCCATTCTCTGAAAAAAAAAAAAAAAAAAAAGGCTATAGTTTTTCTTTATTGTATTTTTGTGATATTTTAGTTTTACTATTGGTTTTTTTATTTTTTACTAGGTTTTCTTTTAGTTTTTTTGTTGGGTATATGATGCATCCTAAAAATACATCACTATAGAAGTTACATTTGCTATGTAGAAAGGGTATGGGTTTCTTTTTTCTTTTTTTTTTGTATTTTTTAGTTTGTTCTTGTATTTTTTGAAGTTTTTTCTTTTAATTTTTCTGCTTCTTTTTTATTGTTTGTTGGGTACATGAGCTCTATTTTAATCTGTAAAAAACTTGGGTATGGGTTTATCTGTTTTATTTTTCCTGGTTTTTCGTTTTAGATTTTATTTTATTTTTTTCGCCCCTCAATGGAAGCTGTTTTTTTCTTGCATACTTTTGACCTCCTAGTTTCACTGCAATAACGATTCCAAAAGAGAAAAAATCAAGGGTTTTTTTTTTTTTTTTCCAGTAATCCATTGAATACCCACTTTGTATTTTGTTTATTTATTGGATTGGTCAATGGATAGTGATCAAGAGGAGCTGGCCCTGCAATCTTAGGAAAGCTCCGTTTTTCGTGTTCAATGGAGGCCCATAGCTAATTCAAAGAGAGGCATGATTTTGGGTGTGAATTTCTTCATTGTTTATTCACTTTTTTTATATTATATTGGTCTCTTTTAGTTGCATTTGATCGATTTATCAATTATATCAATTTTATGAAATTTATGGTTGCTCAATTAGTGAGGATTTGTGTTGGTGAAATTTGTGTCTTCTTTTGAATGCTTATTGCTCTTATATAGTTCTTTATATAATTTTTTTAGTCCTGTCCTTAGATTAAAACGTAAAAGAGGAAAAAGAAAGATGGGTTATGCCAACCTTTTCCATTTAGTATGATTTCTCCTTTTTATTAATAAATTTTCTATTAAATTTTCTGATTTACAGCATTCGTTCTATTATAGCTCGTAATTTGTATGTATGGATTACAGTTTGATTATTCATCGAGTTTGTGTTGCCTCGAAAATGTGATTTGTACTGGTAATGCTATGGCAAATTTGAAAAAAGGAGAAAACTTCTTAAGAGAAATGCAGCTTAGAGTAGGATACCTAACATCCCTAAAGATTGGAGAATTGAAGAATTGAAGTGAAATAGTTAACCTGATATATGCAATTGAACGGTTAAAAATAGGTATTAATCCAGATTTTGGGAGATTGTTTACCAATGGGTTACCAAACATAAAAAACTGGGTACATAGGAATTCCAGACATGTGAAACAAACATGAGAAAAAGCAGGATTGGAAAACTCTTGCACAAGGTACTGTTTACATATAAAAATTATTTTGTATGTACAAACTGTTACGCATGAAGCAAACAATCCCTTAGATTTATTGTCCAAGTAGAATATGTAGTAATGTAGAGTAAATTGGGACTCTCTTTCCACCCATTCCCACTACAAACCCTCAAGCCTTAATCCCTCTCTGCAAACCCTTATCGCTTAATCCTTGTTTCACTCTCTGGCACCTTGGAGACATGGGGAGCATTGTGTATTTTCTATTGATGCATGAGCATCATGCCTTTGCCCTCTACCCAACCTCCCCTCTCCCCCCAAATCTTCATTGCAGAATGAATCTCTACACAAAAATGTTTCACACCAAATCTAATTTTGATATGAAAGTGAGGGTTTTCTCTAGAAATTTATTTTGCCAAGCTTCAAATTTATTTTTTACAGGAAATTATGGTTTTCCTATGAATTCAGGGTTTACTTAGATATGAGGATTTTTGGATCAGGTTTTAGCATTTTATAGGGATCACACATTATCTTTGAAATATCTAGGGTTTCTCTCAGAAATTGTAGGAATTACAGTATTTCTTATTATTTTACAGAATTCATGATATTTTATTGAGAATTATAGAGTTCACGATATTTTAGGTAATTGTTCAATGCATTTTATACTTGATTTCTTGATACAGCACACCGGTTGTTTGATAGACTCTCAAGAATAAAAAATGATAAGAATAAAGCTTTCGGTTTTTTGTATTTTTTTTTATATTATATGAACTGGTCTTTTATTCCTTAGTCATTAATCATTTAAAAATATCATTTTGCAGAACAAGTTATGATTTTTTCTTTGTAAGGTGTATATGGCAATCTAATAATGAGTAGGAGCCTTGTGTCCTTAGCATTTTAATCTTGGATTCTGACACTTAAAAGCTATGTCCATGGTGCTACTGTTCCTTAATATATGGTAAACTTTATTTCTCTGACATTGCACATAATTGTTTGGTATATATTTAATGAAAAATTTCTCAATTTAGACCAGTATTTTGCTCATATTTTGAGTAGTGTTTTGTGTAGTTTATCCTTGAAGAATTTAATTTTGGTTTTGAGTGGCACGTTTGTCTTTTTCTATATTTCCATGATTGCAAGCTATGTACATAGCAATCTCTATGAGGAAAGATTAACCATTTCTTATCAGATGAAAATTGTCAGTGTAGAGCCAATCAATTCACATAGGAATATGTTGTAGGCTTTAACAAATGAATATTTGCAGATATTTTGTGCTTCTTCTCATTGTAAAAGCACTTGGCCGTACCTGTAAAGATACCTTTTTACTCATACAAAAAATTTAAATATTTCTTATTGGTATCTAAAACTACTTTGGATAGCTCTATCGCAATGTGCATATTTCTATGTGTCTTTGCACAATGGCATCGTGTATATTCAACTTCACTCTTCTCCAAGTAGCTCTCTATTAATATACTTGTGCTAGCACTTAAAATCTTAGAAATGATAATTGAAGATGTTATGATTTGGATAGATAAAGGAGTAATAAAATTCCATTTCAGTTTCATTGTTCAATAATCTCTTGTTAGCTCTCTTTTTAGCTTTTTTTGTTTTTTTAAATAGCAATTTCTGCAGTGTTAGGGCTTCACTTCAAAGATTGGATCAATAAGTTGAAGCATAACCAGATATTTGAGCTTATTGTTTGTAGTAGACATGATTTTTGTAGTAGTCGCCCTATCAATTTGAAGGAGCTGTCTTCAGTTTTTAAGATAGATTAATTCAAGATGCTAAGCTAGTGATGGATTTAGTGGACAGCTATAACTTATATAAATTCAAGTGGCCTCAAACTTTTGATGTTCCGAATATAGGCAAAGTGAAACAACACAAAGAAAAATGACAGAAAAAGAATACACCAAAATTGCGTTTTTCAAATCTTGATTATTATTTTCCTTTGAGATAGATCACTTATCTTTTTTGAGTTTTAGCCAAAGATATTGAGGCATTGCCAATCTTTCATGATTAGAAACGGGGAGATGGAACAATTTTTTTTTCCTACTCTTCTTGATCTTTGTTAAATTATTGTTCTTACTAGGAAATTGTTGAGCATTATACAAGTCCTTAACTGATATAATATAGTACATCATATTTTCTTGAATCATTCAAATCTTGAACATAAATGTGATAGCAAGAAGCTTTACTCGCCTGTCATAATGCATATGACACGAAAGTTAAATTTAGTACAACATAGAAGTTTAGATTAGTAGGGAGTGAATACAAGCCATTTGGAGAATGAATTTGTGGGGAGCTATAGAGGACCAAATAACCTAGGTGGAGCTTCAGCCACCAGGCACTATAAGGGTAAAAAGACGTTTACAGGTAACTATTATGTAACTTAAAGGCTGTTTTGCATCTTTACAATTTATTACCATTGCCACTCACGTCGACAAACTATTGATCTTTTTATGTTTGTGTGCAATCAATAACAGGGAGACGTTCTTTAATTTTTGACTGAGAAAAGAGAGAGAACTGCATTTACTTGAGTATTTGCAATCAGGAGAGAGAGAGAGAGAGAGAGAGAGAGAGAGAGAGAGATGTTCTTGTTAGTAACTTAAATTTCTAGTTAGTTTTTGGGTT